GAAGAGGCATGCAACTCAAGATCTGGCTCGACACCGTTCTTCAAGACATGGTTGCCGTTCGGTCTCCGTCACTGGAGACGAAGAGAATGGGTGGAGCTTTCCAGATCCGCGCTGCCGCCAATCGTTACGCGCCCGTTGAGACCGGCTACATCAGGCATGATCACAGCCGTAACAGGTTCAGTGTGCCCGTTCCTTCTGAACTAGTAGTGTTCTTGTGGAAACTAGGAGTTCTCTTATCGTTATCTTCAATAGCGATCTCGGGGGAGAGGGGGTGGAATCTAAGATCGAGCTGATCCGTAGGTCGTCACTACAACGCTTTTGGAGCGCTTAATCTCAGCCGTTTATGTTGTTTACCGTCTATCTATATATGTCTTTCCCATTTCTTTTAAAGGCAAGATTTCCAAGTTCCGCCAGGTGACGTGATTGAAGGCGTGCACATTCGCCACGGCTGGCTCATTGATCAGATCACCTTTGTTACACGCGGGGGTGTGCACTTGGGCCCCTGTGGTCTGTCAATGGGTGGCAACGTTTCTGAACTCTCCATGAAAGACTCTACTTGCTTTTCTCCCTACACTGCTGAGCCCTCTCCCCGCACTTCCCGGACCTGGAGAAACCGTATTGCCTACGACGCGGCACCGGTGGACAATGCGGACTCCGAATCATCGTCATCCACTTTATCTTCCCAGGACCCTGCTCCCGCGCTGGTCGCCCTTCACGGCTTTGAATATGTCAAGATTGCTAACCAGGGAATGGTGTTTTGGAATAATGTCCGCTTTTGCTACTCCGCTCTGGACTTTGACGCGGTAAAACCCAAGATGCCCATCTTGCCCTCACCGGATGTCCTGGCGAGCCTCCACTATACTTTGTAATACTTGGATCTTTCTTTTCAGCCTTTCTTTATACTCTATGTTTTTCTTTGCCTTCTCTTTCTCATTAAAACAAACACTATTGATTAGTTTTCTGCCTTGTGTATTCGTGCGCGCTCTGGGGTATTTCCAATTTAGCCAACAGAAACTGGCACTGTATTCGTAAATTCTCTGTGTTTTCCCAGAGACAGGGCGAGAGTTGCGATCACGTGACCTCATGACCTATAGTTTGAAGGAAGTCGATGTTGCGTAATAAGTGGAGTTATTTGGCATAACCAAATACGCAGAGCAGAGTTCTGCGACTACTTACAGGCAGGATTCACTTATTAAGGCGAAGAAACATTCAGGAATCCACACTATCTTCTTTATCATTACTAGTAAGCCAAACTTTTCTGATAATCCATTCGATTTGGTCGGCATATATGCCGGTCCAGAAAACGATATGGATCAGGCTCGATACAATTGCCTGATTGGTTATCACATTTTTAATCTTATTTCGGCACTAACCAATCAGCGTCATTAATTTGAAGACCCCAAGCCTCTCTCAAGTTCGGATA